ATATATATATATATATATATATATATATATATATATATATATATATCCGTATTCTAATAGTCTCCCTCGTAAATGTAAAAATTATTGGCACGGCACTTATACGGTTCGTTAGACCGATTTGCTCGCTGCAGTCTCGTTCGAAAAAGAGTAGCGACGTCGATCGCCGTCGACCGCGAGGAAGCGGAATAAAGACGATCGTCACATAGCAACAATAAAGCCTTGGGGCTCCGCGACCTTTTCACGTTTGGCTGATCGTTTCACGCGGGACCCGCTGTGCAATTAAAAGAATTATTTGGCAATTACTCGGCGCGCCGGCTGCTGAAATACGCGAACTGCGCATTAACCGGCGGAGCTAGGACGCGCGCGCGCGCGCGATGTAATTGGATTATAAAAATGTTCTAATCCCATAAGCGTTATTAATTTATTATTTATCGATCATTCACGGAGGCAACGACGGGAACGGCGCGTCGAAGCGGTAATCCATCATCGCTGCGACAGCCTCACGTTCACGTCCAGAAACGAATGTAGCACGATTGAAAAATACTATTAACCCAATTGCACCGCGCGCGCTAAGGCTATCCCGCTTGCGTATCTCTCTCCGCGCGGTCCGATCGAAAGCGAGCGTCCCCTCGCGCTTTAGCCTCCCCGCGGATTTCGTCGCGGCGCGTGTACAAATCCGTGGCACAATAAAAAGTCACGATTCCGCCGGGTCGGCCGCAATCGTTTATTTGGCGAGATGCCATGGTCAGATTGTCCAGTCACGTCGTACTCGACGACTTTTAATGCCGGTCACTGTCTCCCTCCAATGCACTATTCTCTCTTCTCCTTCTCTCTCTCTTTCTCTGTCTTTTTCTCTCCCTTCCCCCCCCTCTCTCTCTCTCTCTCGTTGCCCGGAAAGGTACCTTGAAATCATTAGAAGCGCTACAACGACACGAACTCTTTGCGAAAGGGATGAAACGCATCTTCGATTGAGCCGCGCTCGCCGGACATATGCACAATGACCGCGTTTCTCTTTCAGCTCGCTTGTTCACTCGGTACCGCTCTCTTCCGCGATCTCGTCGAATGTTAGTCAAAGACACACACGGAAAGAACAAATCCGTTAAAGAGAATTTACCTTGACAGAAAGGCAGAAGGGCAGAAGCCAATCAGAACTCGTGCTGGTGATCAAATGGTAGTCGACCACCTTCTGCTTCTCTACCAGCGTGGTTGGGTTCTGGCTTTCTGCTCTTCTACCAGGATATGAATTTTCTCTTAGTGTAACTGAATTTTTTGTTATCTGCACGGAAAAAAAGATTTGGTTGAATTAACCAAATATCTGGTCGAATATGAACGATCCAGGAATTCCGATTGAAGTAACCCGAATTCTATTTAAGTTAACAAGATTTTTAGTTGAAATAGAATTCGGGTTACTTCAATCGGAATTTCTGGATCGTTTATATTCGACCAGATATTTGGTTAATTCAACCAAACCTTTTTTTCCGTGTGGGAATCAGACGAGAAACTCGACTATGAGAACAGAAAGATTCCTGCAGATGGTTTCTACTCAGCCAATTCAATATTCAGAGGAACGTCTTCGGTCACAGTAACAAAGGTATTATTTCTCATCAGTAAGTTCTCCGTCTGGTCCCCATCTGGTTTCACGAACTGAAATTTCTTCTCCGTGCAAAACATGAGTGTTCTACGTACGCGCGGGCTTTGCACCCTCAGGGACAGGGCGGTGACGCCGCGGCGACAGGTCGAAGAAACGATGTTGACACGTTACCGGAGACTTTCGTCTCTCGCTCCATCAACGAGAGAGCGCGGCGTCGCGGAAAATGAACGACGAGAGGGAACGTTGATTTTTGCGTGTCGATAGTCAGACACGGTCGGATTGCCAATAGCGATCGATCAGCATCGTAAACGGCGCGAGTAAAAGCTCCTTACCCAGATATGTCAAATTTAATTGCACACGCTGGATAAGGCTGCGCAAGAGCGGCGGAGCGAGGAGGCGGCGGAGGCAGAAGAAAGTCGGGGTACGTCGATAGACATCTCTCCTCAGTGTCTTTCTACTCTTTGACACGATAATTGCACGTGTCGAGGGGAGGGCTCTATACACACAGTTTACGATACACACCGTGTCTATCCATCTATTTACGCGCGATAGCGCGCTTTTCGACTCCTCGCGCCGGTGGCGGTAGTAGTGTTTTGCAACTGAAATCCCGACGAGGTTGCACGAAACGCCGTCCAGCATTGTGGATACCGCACGGCTCTACGTGTCGCGTTCGCGCTTCCACACGTCCACTTTGTTTGCCACATCGGGATTTCGTAAAAACCACGGCGTTACACCACCCGGCCAATTGTCCACGCGTGTAACACGGATTAGGCGGTTATAACGGCATAAAGCGTCGAATGCAAATCACTTTGGAGGCGCTTGCGTAATTCGTGCATATAAAGCGTAACGCGCGCGCGAGAACGCGAGAGTAGCAGCAATTAATGACGGCAGCCGGCCCCCGTCGGCTCTCTTTCTCTTTCTTCTCGCATTATGCGGCGCCACAGCGACCGATATTTCGTAAGTACGAAAGATCGTCGAGGTGTGCGTCGGGCCGACATGTTTTTTCCCCGACACACATGCGCGGCGCGTCAGCCCCGCGGAACGAATGAAACGCCGAGGATGCACAGAGGAAGGCGAAGGCATGCCGTTTACCTTATGACTCGATTTTTCTCAATGATCGCCCGATAATTCCCACCTTATCGCGCGTTCCACAACGGATAAAGCTCGCCGAGCGTTTCTTCAGGGTTTCAAATACCTTCGCGCGTCGTTCTTTTTCCCATTATATTTCATAGACTGGGACCTCCTCGGCGTGTATCAAGCGGCTCGCGATAGGATGGCAGGTGAAGGAGTACACGCGATAGTAAATCATCGTGCAACAAGCCAAGTTGCGTATGCACGCGTACACCAACTATTGTCGCGCTCTCTACGTATCGTACGTTACGCGCATTCGTGGATCGTATTTGCATAATTCATTTGTATGCGTTACATAAAACCGCGAACAATTATTATCCTCGAACGGGCTTCGCAGCGAACATCCCATCGCCCCGTCGTTGAATTGTCGAGAAAAAGAAGGAAGATAATCCCCGTGTCTCGAGCAGAACCCGACGTGCTAAGCATCGTCTTTCCACGGACAATATTAGCTCTGTGAGACTTGAATGAATATTCGAACGCTCAGTAACTTTCGTAAAGGTCTGGTAAATATTTTGAACAGCGCAAATCTGTGCTCGTAGATTTGCATTTTAATTGCGCTAATAGTGAGAAAACGCTCAATAACTGGCACTCGTTACAACACTTATCAGTTTTCAGCACTCGTGCTCAGATTCCATAAAAAATGTCAAAGTGTGTACGGGAATTTATTAATTATTTATTAAATATTTATCAATTATTATATTTATTCTTCACACTTCGTTTTCCTTTAAATCCATCTTAATACTCAATAATATTCGCGCAAAAGTGCCGAAAATAAGTTGAATGCCGACCACTGAACGTTTCCCTTATCTTATAGTTGAAGCTCTTCTACATTTCTGCACAGAAAAAAGATATGGGACACATAAGCAGAAGTATTTCGTTGTGAGCAGAATAGGTATATATCAGCCTAGTTATCTTTGTGCGATGGTAATGTGTATAATTGATATGACTCGGTTACTTTAGTAATTGCGCGTGATCTGGTAAATCACACAGTTGGGGTATACATTTACCATGAATACATTCTCGCTGGAGCAACCAGATATCGTCACTGTAACTCAGCAATTTGTCTGCGCTTGTAGCAACCATGTAACTAGTTGCTCGGTATTCTATTGAGCTTAGTTGGTACAACTACAATTTATGTGTAGGCCAACCATATTGTTTTCTCTGAAAAAAATTTAATAAAAAATTATGATTTTCAACAGAGTTATATTATATATGGTAGTTCAGAAGTATCCCGAGTCTAACAAACCCAGATTGTACTACATGTCCAAAAATTATGCACTAAGAGAAATTATTCGGTAAAAAATTGACAAACGGATATTTTCGATCAAATTCCGATCAATTTTTATATCCAATTAAATTGGACACTTTCAATCATGACATTTCATCAAATAAACCGATCAAAATATTATATCTCATCGGATACTTCCTTATCGGGCAACATCTCAGTGTGATTGTACACGGAACATTAATTTTTTCTCCGAGATCTTCTAAAGTCACAGTTTTCCGGAAAAGACTTCCAAACTACCGTCTCGCTACATAGACTTTCATCGTCGATTATACTTATCCGCGTTTTTTGCTCGGCAAAACATGTCAACGGACAGTGTGGCGTTTAGTGATTGTTAAACGCACACACACACACACACACACCTGGAGATCTGCCGCAGCTTCTCTCGTGAGATAAATCGATGTTATTGTGACCGGCCGTACCACAGGTGCGCGTATCGTCACTGTAAATCTAACACAGCCGGTGTAACCTTTCGCGCGCCGCGCGACTAAGTAAGTGGGATGAGCTCTCCGAAGGAGACCCGGCGACGCATTATTGAGAATCGACGCGGCAATGAGCGGCGCACCGAGAATCCTCGAGCGTTATGCAACTAGCCGCGAGTACGCGAGCTCGTCTCGCGGGTAAGGTCTACGACCAAGGTACGTAATCCCGGGATGGGCAACGACGGAGAGCCTTCGACGGTATTCCGAACGCGTCTCCCTCCCGCCGCCGTTCCTCTTTCTCGGCTTTCCCCCCATCGACGCGTTCCCAGCGTCGCCCTCCGACTCACGACACGGTCTCTTTCTCTCTCTTTCGCAGCGTGGTCTGTTCATTGTCCCGGGAACGTCACGCCGTGACAGTGAGATGCCACCACGTTACTATAAGCCGGATTTCCAGGTGAGAGAGGCGTGCGAGAGAGGACGATGACAGGTAAAATCGCGTCAGCGGTCTCTCCAGAGCGGGCACGGAGTTTACCGAGAAGGTTCATTCAACGGCAACGCGCGAATCGATGATTGTATTTGAATACACACGAGGGAGCCGGCCTATGAGAGTGTGTTTACCTCGTGCTGCTCGCTAGCTTCAAGTATTATTATTATTATTACTGCATATCGATATTACTCCGGTGAGAAAATTCCAGATGCCGTGATAAAACGAATTTCGCACTGGCATTTGACGGAACAACGCCTACAACATGGCTGGCGCTCCGCCTGGTAATTGACTAAAGTTCATTTTCTACCACAATGAAAACTTCGTGTAATAATCATGTAATAATACGTAATAATATATTTCATGGTACGATAACCTGATTAATATCTCGTTACAAGTTTACGGACATCGGTCACGCGTCTTGGGCTTTAACCCTTTGCTGTTCAAAGTCCAGTGTGGCTGGACATCGTGTTTGTGTTTACTCCAATAAGAAAAATAGAGCTCAAAAATACTTTTCTCACAAAGGAAAACAATTTGTTTTCCGTAAATTCTTTTCGATTTAAAATTCCAGAAAAAAGCTGCTGTAATATATTTGGAAAATAATGAAAAAAAGATTTCGAGATTCTTTCTCTCTCTCTCTCTCTTTCTCGAAACCCTGAGTGTCCTCAGATGACCTCAATCTCTCAAGCTCTTACCGTGCTGCTGAGAGAGCTACAATAAGGTTTCAGGAGATCTCCAAGGAGTCTCCTCGCAATTTCCTGTCGATATCTTAACAAGACAAGACGCGGGTCTCGTTCCGCTCGTCGAAGGTGCGCTCGACCTCTCTAAAGTTTTAATTATACCGCCTGTCGGCCGTAATATCGTTCACCGGACGACTAACTACAACGACGCTGATTACACCGACGTTATTATGCTACAGGCCAGCTCTCGCGGCTCGACGTGCAGCAACGAGTGACACGTCGTGCGCGAGTTGCTGACACTCGCGGGCGATTAACCTCGTTTCGAGGTGACGTTCTCGCCTCAGAGGGCAAGGAGTGCTCGTTCTCGCCGAAGCTCGCTGTATCACGTTTATCGTGGCCCGTGGTCGCGCAGCAAACACGGCCGGCGCGCGAGTCAATCGACCAGACGAGATGCTGTTTCCCGACGGTAACAACAACTAGCAATTCCACGGCGCGCTTAACCCGCCGTGACACCCACGCGTCTCTTCAACGGATCGCCCGGGTGCATTTAAATTTATAATTTTCGCAAGGCGATGCGAAACACGGGAGAAGCGCGTCCGGCGCTCTTAAACGGCACGCAACATCGCCGTCATCGAGACACCCCCACGTGCGTACGTGAGATGATAGAATCGCCTTAATTAGCGCGACTCGAGCAGTCGGTCGCATCATTGAGCGCGCTCTCGTGCTTTGAATAGCTCCGGTTTCGCGTTACGTCGCGTCTCCGAAAGGAGACGCTCCGAAGGCCGCCGCACCGGGATCGAAAGGATCTCTCTCTTTCTCTCTCGATTCGCATCTTTTTTCCTGGAAGCAAATGACGACGGGCATTATCGTTACGCGAATGCGACCTGCTTATTATGAGAAACGTCCCGCGCATTTGATCCCCCGTATCGAAGCTGCCCAGAGCCGGTCGAGCGAGATAACGATCCCCGTGGGGGAAGAGCGCTCCCATTGTGCTTAATGCCCTCGTCAAGTGCCCCGGGAACCCTGTCTGGAGCGCGATCCTCGATCTAGATCGAGGAACCGACCAAGGCCCGCCATTATTGCGGGATCGTATCTTCGGTTGCTACTGTCAGAGGGACAGTATTGTCGTAACGAATAATGACGCCCGTACAAATCGTTAACAACGGGAGAATCAGACCGGAATTCGTCGGGTTGAATTACAATGGAGTCGCGTCCTTAACCGTCAACTACTTTAACACACTGTTGAACGATCATGAGAAAATACGCGTTCTTGATGGCCAAATGTTGTTGACCAATTCTCGAGTGATCTCCGTCGTTTTGGCGATTTAGAGAACAAATAGCAAGAGTCGAATAATACTGAAAACGGTCGACCAATAATGCGCTAAATATAAACTTATATGAAAAATAGTCAGAAACTACTAAAAAAAATGTTTTACTACTCCAGGTAGACTTTCATATATCACTATTCTAAATAAAAAATTGCCTATGATACGTAGAATTTACAGCAGCATCATTCTAGCAATATCTGCAAACAAAGTTAGGTCCCGTTATCAATTATTAATCTGGCCTTAATTTAGATGGGCACCAAAGAGAGAGACTTTTGTGCCGAATTTTACAAGTAAATAAAAATTCCGTCTCTGTCATTTGTATTGATTAAGTTAAAACATCTGCGATATCGCAGTGTTTAGTCAAAGTTATTTATCTTAGCTAATTTTTTGTATCTACATTATTCGCGCTACGACTGCAAGATCACTTTCTTGAATGTGGTTAACAATGTGTAAACAATTGACCGCACAAGACAACGACAAATAAGCGAACAACTAAGATGATATTCAAGTCTAATCTGTTTTTAGACTTGAAGTAGATTCCAGAATATTCTGTTGCGCACATAAAATCCGAGAAGGCACGATGCATTGAAATTCTCGAGTATTGCGCATGTTATTTGCGACGCGATACGCTCTGACGGAGAGAACGAGCGTACGTGCATGCTTACGCGAATGTGCACGCCAAAAAATGACATGGTAATTTATCAGATAAACCTCAAATCAGGCCGATTTGAACTTAGCTATGACGTTAATCGTAAAAGGTTAATCGTTTTGCTGTCATTACTAAGAGGCGATAAAACACATTCGCGCTATCAGATATAAATTTATTGACTGACATTAAAAGAAGGTGGTAGCTATTTCTTCATATCATTATGCGTGTGAATCTTGAGCATTGTGAAGAATTTACTCTATATGAGTAAAAAGTCGTTCGAATTCGAGTGAATCAACGGTCACTCTACTTTTCGAGTCAAGTTTCACTAAGAAATTCACAGAGTAATAAATTTAATGTCGATAACCACGACATTAGCTGTCCTTTCTTCAATGACATATCTTACACAAAAAGTATTTTATGGTTAAAAATAGCTATATAGAATTTTGCAGCCGAGAAATAGATCGATATTCTGCAGTAATTCACTCCATTTCTTCATTTCATATGTGTTAATTTTATTTTAAGAAATGAAATATGTTATTCTAGGGATGAAATATGAAATATTCCAGCGAAATTTATGTAGTAATTCATTCCATCCCTTCGTTTTATATGAGCTAATTTTATTTTAAGAACTTAAATATGTTATTCCAGGGATGAAATACGTTATTCCAGCGAAATTTATTATAATTATATTACTTAAGTACTAAAAACATAAAACTGAAAAGAATTTATGCGAAACAGAACTGTAATATTTTCTCCGTGTAGCCGGCGCAGCTATACCTTAGCTCCTGCGGTTCTCTCTCCGTGTGCGTGCATGCGAGCGCTCGTGTTATTTGTCTCGTTAAATCGATGACGAAGGGAGCGTTTTCCATACGTCCTCGAACCTGTCGAACGAGAGCGATTTTCGAGGCGGACCGGGCGAGGCTCTCCTCCGGCTCGCCTTTGTCTCGGAACGAGATCCCGCGGGTTACACGACGAGAACGGGCATGAATATCCGCGGCTCATCGTGGCCCCTTTTGTTCCACGGACGGATCCCCGGCACGGCGAAATAAACCTTGCCCTTGCGCGCGTTCACCACTGTTGAAAAGATTCGCATTCCGCAGGCCGAACGAGAGGATGTTTGCGCGCGCGTGCTCGCTTGCGGCCCGGGGAATGCCCGTAGACGCCGAGATCCGGGACGGCGGCAAAGCCGAATTAATTGTCGGAGAGGAGGGAACGCGCGAGACGACGAGCTTAAAAGGTGCGCTGGCCGGGTGGACCTGGTCTACCTGTCGCGCTGCGCGTATGCATCCGATGATGCAGTACGCCTGTGGGCGAGTCTCCCGAGTGCACTCCCCACCCACGAAGAAGAAGCGTCTTCCATGAGATGTGATCGAGCCTCCTACATCGCGCAGCTTGATTTATTCGAACGTGTGTGTATTATGAGACGAGTAGAATCACGCTCTAAGGCCTAATTAAAATTCGTTTCCACTTATGTAAAGCAATTTTTTTTATCACGAGTCGCTACAAGGAGATACTCGTAGGCTCACAACGATTACGACTGTGCGGAAGATTCAAGGCGACTCTCGATAATCGCGCTTTAATCATCGCACAATTCCGCAATCTCCGCGATTAGGAGCAGCAGGTTGACCGGAGAATGCGCGGAATCTCTCTCTCGTTCGTGGGCGCGCGTGGGTTCAGAGACTTTCGGCTTTTCACACGATTCGCGCTTTGTAATCAGAGTAATCGACCGTCGGCTTATTAACGGAACGTCTTCATGCCCATTCATTAGACCTACACAAAGTATAGGCCATCTGTCGGGCAACGTATTAATGAACACCGACCTCCGAGGTCGCGTGATTTCCGCGTGATCTCTTTATCTCTCTCTCTCTCTCTCTCTTTCCCTCCCTCCCTCTCTCTCTCGCTCTCTCTCTTTATTTTGCTCTTCCGAGTCGAGCGAGTACAGCCGCGCTATTTATACAGCCTGAAGTCGTAGGAGGCAGAAAAAATGATCGACGAGGAAGAGAAGTCGACCACTCGAGCATTGATCACCGTAACACGCGGCCGCGATTCCCTCGGTTCTCTTTTTGCCGACCTCGTCAAGAGGCTTACGTCAGGTGCTCTTTGCGGATCCGTTTTTTTTCTTTTCCTTCTTTTCTTTCATCGCCGGTTCTCTTCCTCAGCGAGAGTCATTTCCGTGTTACCGTACGTCGCGGCGCGCACACCGGTCTAACGCGCGCCTAATCATCCTCCATCGAAACCGCAATCGCGACCTTGGCGGTTAGCGTAATATTACGGCAAAACGCAATGTGTCTACAAGTGTAATATATGCGTGATTGTGTGTAATTACGATAATTGATGGTAATTCGTCTCTCGTTCAAGTAGGAATGGTCTTCTCGCGTGAAAATTGTGGACAACGCAACAGCGCGCTAATTTACGCATATCGAGAGAGCGACGTTGGGAATATTGGATTCTATCACCATTCTATCACGATTCTATTGGAAAGAGCGTGCATATGGTTCCCGCCGCGAATCGACGTCGGAATGCGGTCCTGCGATCGACTCTCCCCATTACTGCACGCGTTAGATTACCTTCATTCTGTATTCGGAGAACCATTAATTATGCAGACCGGAACTCTCGCTTTTCTATCATTAACGCGGACATAGTTCTCTCGTCAATTCCTTCCGCGGTGTCACACATCTGGATATGTCGGACGCATTAATCGATGAGAATTTCCCTCGATTAAAATAATCAGCAAGTCAATGATCAAAATAACTATCAATCGGTGTCAAATCGATCACAACATCAGAATTTCACTGATAATTACCTTCATCAATCGATGAAATTGTGATTTTATATATTAAATTATAATTATAATTGTGATTTTATATGATTGATTAATCGTAATTATATGATTAATTTGTCGATTATTTGAGTCGAAAGGAATTTTAATCGATTAATGTCCATACTGTCTCCGCGTTACGGCGAGCGATACGCTTGCGCCACAAATCGACGAATCGGACTCCTCGTTGTTTCACAAGAGATCAAGTTCAATTCACGAAACTGCCGAGGCTCCGCGAGAGGCCTCGTCGACGCGCGAAAAAGACACGCCTTTTGAAAAGAGACGTGACGCGCAATGAGACACGGGGCGTCGCGGCCGCGTATGATTAATGCCTTATTAATAAATCATTTTTGTTACAAAGAGCGTTACGTCGGCGACGCGCAATTCCCAGCGAGCGATTCAACGCGCGACTAATAGATTTCCACTGTTAGCCGGCTGGAAAAACGCGACGTCACGAGGACAGGCAGACGCGCGCCTACGTCCGTATTAGGAATAACGTTGCGCCAGATCCCGGAGAGTATGAAAATAATCGGATAGTCGCATGGAAGCGGCGCGTTTCACCTGAGAAACGGTGATCCATTAAGTCCGGCTCGTTAGCCAGCGCGCGCATACATACACGGCCAAGAAGCGCATTCGCGAGGCATCACCTGTCGCGGGCCGACAGATATTTGTCATGGCGTTATGGCATTATTTGCGTAAGAATCACACCGTGTGATCGCGAAGCGCGCTGGCGCAATTCTGCAATAAAGCGCGGCATGCTGATGATTTCAAATTGTGCCAAAGATGCAAGGTCTTCATCCTAATGACTTTGCTCTATGACAAGCGGGCGCGTATCGCAAAGTATCAGCGAAACTGTACAAACGTCTCGCCTATTAACGATCACCTATGGATGCATCGGTCAAAGGAGACAGGTGAAAGTGGAAACTCACCCATTCTCGCGAGGAATTCATCTTCCGCGTACAATCATATTTTAGGACATATATACTAAAGTATAATCAGTATATTCTTCACTGAAACGCTAGCATTGTATGCGTCTACAACCTGCATGAATAATGATAACATAGTCACTGCTATTAACTGATCCTGTGAGATTTTATTGATGGTAATGTTATATTTATAACTGAATAATTAGTTACAAATATATACAGAAAAAAATTGATTAGTTGATTCACGGACAGTCAACCGCATTTCAGCTGAAGTAGTCAAAATATTTGATTTTGACAACTGACCTTAATTGTCTAAACTCACTTGGTTAGAGCTAACTGATCTTGTTTCTAGTGGTAAAAATCAATGAGACATACGATAAAACAGTAAAGTGGGAAAATATTTTCACTGGAAAAATCAGTGAATCGTCAATTGTTAATAAAATATTACTTTTACTCATTCATCTTAAAAGAGTAAAGTCTGAGTCTGTCATGGCAGTTTTAAACTACTACAATTTTATTGAAAATCAATATCTTTGAACAAGACATTTTTTCCAAGAGACATAGAAAAGTCTCGAGCTATAAAATAGTAATGCAATAATCTGCAAATAGGTTTGCGTTATTTTGAAATTTGCAGATTTTCACCAGTTACGAAAGTTGCTGAATATTCCTTGGGCTTTTCACAGATTCAACGTTCTATGCGCAGGATTAATCGTGTTCTGGCAAATATTCATAAATTGCGCAATTATATGGGGCATAGTCTTTAGGGTCAGAACGACCAACGTCCTCGCGGTGGATGCGCATAGTCACCCGGATGAGGTTTTGTCCCAAGTAGGCTCAATTAATCGCGACTACCGCAGTCTCCCAGCACCGAAATCACCAGGCGACGGACGTAGTTACAGAACGCCGCTGGAGAACTCGTAATCGTCGTTACACTCGGGCGGGATGATCGCGAGACGTCGTCTATTACATGTAATAACGCGGTTGCACCACTTGGCCGCGACGCGGATGTAAACGTCGCGGAGGTTACGGATGAAGAACGACGAGAAGCAACGACGCGACTGTGGCGCGGGCTGCTGCTCTCCCCCTCTCTCTGATCCCCAGGATCCGAATTTCGAGGCGCGAGAGAGCGAGTATGCAAATAGCCGTAAACAACGCTGTGCACCGCGTCCCTGCGCGCACGGATATATACATAAAAGCCGAATTTCGTAAACGCCACGTGCAACTTACACGCCGCGCATCCTTGAGAAGTGGATGTTGGAATGAGAGAGAAAAATCGCCCGAGTTCCATTCGCTCGATCGTAATGAAAATATTCACGGCGCGGCACACGCCGACGATGACAGCGGCTGCCTTCCTTTCGACCGCGAGGTCAAAGGTGTCAGGCCTGTCGGGCCGGATTAGTGACCGTCGCGCGTTCACCGATCGTTCGTCCGGAAAGTTCGCTCGATTGTGTGTTTCGTCATCGGCTCACTGGGATCCCAGCGAGGTCCACGGCAGAATAAGCGCGGACGCGCCCGACTTAGTCAGGTGTAAATGAAATTGCGATTTTCGACCGAGTCCTCCAGAAGAAGAGGGAGAAAAGAAAGAAGAAGCGGTTATAGGCACGTCGTTCGTCGACTCAATCCGCCTCAAGGCCTCGGTCGACACTTTGTTGTTACGATTGCGCGAAACCCAGCTGCGCGACGGCCAGGTTCGAGTTCATCGGCGAAGGTCGCCGTTTCGTCGGCACACTACGACGTAAAGGCCTTCGCAAAGGGCCCGGCCACACTAGAGCCTCCTTTCATGGTCACGGTCCGCTCTTTGTTGCAACATCGTAGAAATCGTCGCGGCCGACGATGATACACGCGCGGGAGACGATCGTAGCCATCGCGAAGGTCGCTCTTACCTCGAAAGCGGAACGAAGCGACCCGTCGCCGCCGATTCCATGAGGGGGATCGCGATCCTCGCGCTCCTCAAGGTCGACGTTATAGGCCCGCGCGCGGCCGCGACGTAGGTATCGGTGATAACCCTTCAATTTATCGATTTCGCGCGGCCACCATTATTATGTATCCCCAGGAAATTCGTCGCTCGTACACGCCGCGTACGCAATCGTCAGGCAATCGTTTCGAGTTTCGTCGCTTGTTCATCGGTGACGCTAGGTCAGGGAGCTTCTATGGGTGCCCTGAAAGCCCGTCTCTCCTGCATCCTCTCTCTTCTCACTCACTCTCCCCCCACTGACATCCCTTTCACTTTTCGTCCGTGCTTTTCGTGGGTCGAGCGGTTCGCCTTCGGCCTCAAACTCGTTTGAACTGGTCCGATCCGCGAGCGTGCCTTCTCGTATCGCGCGCCCCGCCCGCCTTTCCCGGCTTTAATACCGGATTTGCATCGAACGTACAAACGTACGTGCGCGAGCGAGCGAGCAAATGACTTGCACCGAGTACGACCGCGTTCGGGCGCTTACCCTCTCGTGTATGAGCGTCATTTTACAAGGGGGTATTACACTTTCGCGCCGGAAAGAAGGAAAAAGTAATGTCGATGCGGGCAGTATGCAAAACGAGTCGATAAAACGAGACCGCGTCTCAGCTTACCTGAAACTTTACCATCGCCGATTGTCAATGGGCCTTCGCGATCGCGATCGGAATCGAGAGCGTACTTGATTTAGTTTAAAAGAGAAAAAGGAAAAAACGCGTTAAATAACATCTAAGAAAGAAAGAGAAATAGAGGGAAAAAGAGAGAGGGAGAGAGAGACAGAGAGAGAGAGAGAGAAAGAGAGAGAGAGAGAAGTCGGCCTCTGTTCCAGTTTTTATTATTCCTGGCCGATTGACTTGGACGAATGAAGAAAAAGATCCGCACATTTGCCGCGTCTCTTAATTTCGCCTTTTTGATTGAGGCTCGCGTGAATCGTCATAGAGAAATAAAATAAAGATGTCAACACAGAGAAAAGTATCATTTTACTGTTAAGGAAAGCGATTTACTCAGTTTACTCTCTTTCCTTTCAGCAATGGTTATCTTCAACGAAGAATAATTTCTTGATATAATGGTTTTAAAATATACTTATCATAGATTTTAGTAAAGTTCATAATCATGCACTTTTTACGAGAACATCCTAAAACTTTATCAAAGGAAAAGTTGGACTCTACGCAGCAAGCAAGCCAATTTTTTGTTTTAATTTAATATTCTTGATTAAAATGCTAAACCTACTACTAGGACTCAGATTGTATTTGCAACAAATTTGATAATTGTGACGAGCTTATGATAGCTCCTGATACATAAACTTACAAAATACTTAAAACAAATAATATCCATTTGAATGCAGTGTGTATTTCTCTGTGTGTAAAAGTATCGAAGAGAAAAAGAGCGAGAAGAAAATTCGTCGTCGCGCGCGTACTTTGTGTCTCATAATGAGAATGATAATTAATATTTTTATTGAAACGGTGAGAGCACATCAATAATCATCGCCACGACATATTCACTCGACGCGGCTTGAACTAATTATAAATGTTTAAACATCGACCTTTTCGTGTGAGTGTGACCTCATCACGCGCGCGAAATTCGTGGAACAGGAGCAGGATGTATTTATTTTCAATCGTACTTTATACCGCACACATGACGCGCGTTATAACGGCAGAAGCTTTTAACGCGGGTTATAATTAATATACCCCCCTCATCCCCTCCCTCCCGCCGCGGAGTTAATGCTCTCGCGCACCTGCTGCTTTTTTGCGCGCGGATGTTTTAAGATCTTATCGTTCGCTCACGTCATCGGTACAGCGCCGTTATATTACGTCAGCGATCAATTGTTCACCGGATAATTGATATTTTAAAATCCTTTCGATTAGCGGCACGCTCTCAATCCACCGCCGATAATTGAGTCGGGGCCCCCTCCTGCCCCTCCTTCGTGTTCACGTCCCGAGATTCCTTTTATTCTTCTGTTCATTCGCGACACGGAGAATTCGGCAACGGCATGAGCGCGTTGTCGATGATGAACGACTCGTTGTAAAATGTTATAAACAAGTGGAAGAAAAACGTGCGCGCGCGGGCGTGATTGGGCCCGCTTAAAGGAACGCCTATGAAATCGCGCGCGCCTTATTATACATAGTTATTTATGTGCCGGTTACGCAATCGACAACTGTCGGGCTCTCGTGTTTCAAGATCGAATGCACTTTTCGGGAGCTGAGGGCCGTGTCGAACCGCGCTGGAAAACGAATGCAACTTGAACGACGTAATGCACGACGGATTATTCCCCCCGCTCCCTCCTCCTCCTCCCGGATATTGATTCGGACATCGGATATCGTTTACGAAGCGATATAGTACGGGGATTCGTTAGGTCAAGCGAGGCGAGGTGGTAAAGCAAACGTATCAATTTTCAGACACGCATCTAATCTCGGTGATTTCAGTTATTTTGGTGTTCAAATACGAATATTTCAACTTTCAACATGGATTTTAAATAAAATTTTATAGTAAAAACTACCTAGAATTTTGTAATCGAAGAATAAATCAACATTCTGTAGTAGATGATTATCCCTTCACTTCGTATGTGCTATTCATATCTATCATAGAATGTGAAATTTTGCAACAGCACATAGAAATGTTATTAAGAAAATTGCTAACTATTAAAAAATGTTTCCAATCAAATCTACTGTGTTCCTTGGCAAGATATAGACTTTATTGGCGTAATCTACTGCTGCACTATTAAAAACATATAATCAAATTGAAAAAAATATTTATATAAAAAAGACTATAGTATTCTTTTATATACTATATTCTGTGTTGAAAGTTGAAATGTAAAGACCAAAACGATAAAAAAGTTGGGTACATGTCCAAGCATGCATCAATACTTTTCCTTAGTGGGTGCAGTTTCGTCCCGCCAAGTCGAGAGAAACAATCCGGAGATGGAAAGATGATGATATTGATGATGGCGATATGACGATGATGATATTGAAGAATGATGGTGGTGGTGGTGGTTTTGCCGATTTTTACGCGCGGTCGCGCCGCCAGTGTATGCTCTCTGTCTCTCTCGCGATATTATAAATAATCGCGGGCGCAGATAAAGGTAACGATTATCATTCGTCATCGCTATTAATCACGCCACGCGCGCACGTCCACCCGACCGAGTCGATGTATACACGCGATATAACGTCCCCCGCTTGGTGCGCTTTTTTTTTTTGCCGAGCGCCGATAAATTGCCTCGCCTCCTCGGCCGCCGGCCACGGAAATTAAACCGGGAGCGCGCACCTTGGACACACCAGCCGGACGTACGTACGGACGGACACGTTTCTACCTGCTCGAGCCGTACACGCGACATTTCGCTCGCCGGTGCGTGCGGTGTGCCGCCGTCTAATGTCACCGCGACGCGACGCAACGCCTTCCCGCGAGTAGTTCCCGGACCGGTGATTTCAATGACGCGGCGTTTCGCAGCTCTCCACGACGCTAATATATCGGCCGCTGGTTTCCGTGAAAGTACATACGTACACGAAATGTTCACGGTCGGGAGGTTATTGTGTCAGAGAGCAACTGACATTTTCATTGCGGTCGCGTCAAGGGGGGAGGGAGGGGGGAAGGGGCAGGGACGGAATTAAATCCTGATCGATTATCTAAGTTATAATTAGAAAGTGTCGTTGCGCAATGCTTGACGACATCGACGACAACGACGGAACCGTGGTAGTCTCGCCTGAACGAGAGTCGTCGAAGTGCCAACCGAACAGAACTAGAGCTCAATTATATATAAACATGGCTCTCAAAGTATTCAACTCAATCGAGGGAAGGATAAGGCGAATTAAGATCTTGGTTAAGCAGATTTTGGTGCAAATATTTAAACTGTGGAAGAATAAGAATGTTTCACGATGTTGATAAACGCGCTTTATGATTTGTTGTGACTTTTTTTGCAACATTACAAACAAATCAAAACATTCGCAATGCAAATATAATTATGATTAGGTAATGGGGGAGTTAATTAATATTAATAATTGGGATTCAGGATCGGTTTGACGTGAAAGGTTCGTGCGTTGAAAAAGTCCGGAAAATATTCAACAAATGCGTTAAAATTGTCTAACATTATTATCCTCCCACAGTTTAAATATTCGCACCAATACCCGCGCTCAGTTCTCTCTTGCCTTATCTCTTCTTCATTCAGAGCTAAATTATTTGAATATATCACGGAGAGAAAGAGAAAGAGAGAGACATCGCAATGCTATGAAATGGGATATTGAAGCGGAACACCCGCGCGAAATCTAGCTCATAAATGAAGTAGCAACTAATCCCCGCTGGATTAACTTTCCTTGCGGCATCGTTACCTGCGAGCAACACATCTGTGTGCTAGCGAAGGAGCACCATTGAGGCCGCGGTTGCTAAATCGTCCGCTGTTTCGCGGCTCCATTCTATCGCGCGACTAAATGAAATTGCAACAAAGGTTGCCCGAGCGATCGCGTCGATCCTGTCTGCAATTTTCCACGACAATTTCATCCGATCTCTCCGCTTCGGGACGAGCGGCACGGCATACGCGGCCGATCAGTCGCGGCAAGGTGCAACGTCCGTTGATCTTAATGCTCGGTTGTGCCCTTGATGGACCCTCCTATGGAGTGCAGCAAAGGCAAAGCAAAGGCGGATTCGCGGGAAAGCGACGCGAGCAAAACGACACCGACCGTCGTGTGCGCATCATCCCGCGGCTTTGTATCTCTTCTGCATCATCTGCGTATAATCACGTTTAGCCTTCGTCATACGCGATGATGTAGCGCCGCGCGCGGCTCTGCATTAAAATCTGCTGGCGTGCATTCCAAAAGTACGCGGCGGGTGTATGCGCGCGGTACGAGATGTGAATAGCGCGCAAAAGAGAAAGAGAAAAAGAGAGAGAGAAAGAGAGAAAGAGGAATACGTGACGGCGAAAAGCGAAGCGCGCCGCGCAGTCGCTTTCACCGATTCTTAGACACGAGCGCAAGAAATATTTACGCCACGTAACGAGCTAATAAACCGATGCATGTTTACATAAGCTCGTCGTTATCGATCTCCTTTTCGCCGCGGATTATTACGATGCCACAATGAAACGACATTATGTAAATGTTATTCTGCCCGTGAATGAAATCACGTGCCAGACATTGCAGTACCGAATTGCAAACAATGAGTTCGCGTACGGAGGAGGAGGACGAGTAGGAGGGGTTGCTTGGTTAGCCGCGCGGAGAAAGCAGTCGGCGCTATTTCTCGTATTTGTTCAAGTAACCAAGTTGTGTGTCAAACGAAACAGTGTCAAGTACGAAAATGGTTAGAAGAACGCAAGCGTGAAGTTAGCACACGATCGATAGGAATTTGTCTGGCGCGAATGCACTTGACAGAACTACCGTCCAAGTAGGGAAACCACTTTGGAAAGCGTAGATACAAATGAAAAATCGATGTAACAGTCGACGTGACACCTTATTATATATTCGTACGCTTACTCGTGTCGACCGTGCGCGGCTGCGTACGTGGGTGTTTTCACGGTCACGAAATATGCACGAAATAAACGCGAGAGAAAGAGAGAGAGAGTATATGTGCGTGCGTGCGTGCGTGCGTGTGTGTGTGTGTGTGTGTGTGTGTATGTGTGTGTGTTACGAATTCGATATTACGTGCAATGTCAAAGAGATCAAAAAATACACCGCTGAATAAGAGTCACGCGGTGCATTGATCGGGAAATGGCACGAGCGTATTATTCGGAATGCATCAGCGAAGCGATAAGAAAACAACGCTCGGGAATGAAGCTAATTACACTGACAGAACACAATCCGGATTTTAAGTAACAGACATATGCTGTTCAAGCAATGTATCCCATCGATTTCGGTGTCAGAACAAACGTTAGGCGTTCTTATGCGGTGAAACGCAATTTAGTCGAACGCTGCACTCGATCAAATGAAGAAAGAGTAGTTTCAACTGAAGTGGTTGACTCGACTAAATATCCAGCCAGATATTATCTGATGGAAGATGATGACCCGATGAAATCGAATGATATCCTACGAAAATAATCCGGTGAAGTCAGTGAGCCAAGTACACAGAAAAATACCTAGTGCGTTCAAGCAAATGGCACTTGCTGCCAAATATTTCGTAAGTTTATATCTGCAAATCTGTCATAAATACATCATAAGCATATGATATTTATTCAGAATCCATTCTAAATTCTAGTAACAAGAGCATTTCAATCAAGAATATTTAGATTGAAACAAAAATTCGGTTTGCCAACTACATGGAGTCGAGCCAACTTCTTCTTTGATAAAGTTTTACGATATTCTTGTAAAAAGAATAAATTCTTTTCTTGAATACATGATAATGAGCTTTTCTAAAATTTGTGACGAAGAAATTATTCTTTGCTGAAAAAATAACCATTACTTAAAAGAAATCAAGAATAATCACTTTACAGTACAATGATATTTTTCTGTGCGTATCGTAATGTATCGATCAAATTTCATGGCATATAAAACATCAGTTTGTTAAAACTCGGATTTCTCTCTCAGTATGTGTGAGAGAGAAAGAGAGAGACAGAGAAAGCCATTGGCAATTATCGATAGTGACTTCGCGAGTGCTTCAGTGCGCGAATATCTTCGCACTCTTGAGACCGCGTCGAGAGGTGCTCAGAGACTTTTACACTTTTTCCTCGATGAAGGGTGATTTTACCCAATAAAGCTTGACGCTTCCGCAGCCATCGCTCACAATAAATTCTTTTTCGCCGGCGAGTTACTTCATATGTCTACCTTAAGAAGATATAACGCACCGTAACCTTGTTTGTTATTACACTTCCTTATACGCCGCAAGTTTGTGGTTACACGATCGGTGTAAATTTCCCTTGCAATAAAATCTCGTGCACGTTCGAACGTTTCACGTCCGCCGTAAGGCTGCCACGGTCGTGAAGCATTGCTTGATTTTTCATAGTATCGCGCGCTACTTTTACGTAGTAAAAGTCCTCTATAGCTATCGCTCAAAGCATCAACGACCGGTTCGCGTTTGATACCTCAATGATTTTCAGCGTTTCGCGCCACGTATGTTTCGCGACAAAGTCGTTTGCGACGATGGAAATGTGAAGTGAAATATGCGCGTCACTTTCGAGGCGAGGTTCCGTTCTTGAACCTCCGAGACGTGTGGCTCGACGATTACGGCGGAATTTGATAAATTCGCGCGGGTTTAACGCGCGCAGATAACGCGGGCAACCTTTCCCTTTACGGGAGAATACGCTTAAGGACGGAGGTGTGACTGCCGCCGTGCGGCCACTCTTAATTCCGGGAGACGTTATCGTTAGTCACCATATCCACGGTTAATCGCGTGATGACGCCTGTACGAAGGTAATTTATCCACGTAGCCACGTAGGTGGCGACGAATCGTCATACAGTCGCGGATCTCTTATCGGCCCTCTTGGACTTTATATTATCGATAAGACCAGACGCGAAACACTCGTGCCTGCCTTCGCCTGGATATAATAGGCTGATGCATAATTATAACAACAAGTTCCGGGTTCGGGGAACATTGCCGGTGACTAACCACATATGCATAATGTATATGTATCGCGACGACAAATCGCCCGCGGCGAGACTCGGAGACGGGAGTCGCGAAAGCGCCGACCGCCACCGCGGTTCGAGACGTGGTCGTATAAAATTAATGGATATGCAATCTGGAGAGGATTCCGCTGGAGCAAAAACTCAAATCGTCGCCGGGAAATGCGCTGCGTGCAAGATTAATCGATATTATGCGACTTGCGTTGTACCGTGCTACGTGGACTCTATCAAAGCGCCTCCCGCGCGATTATTTCATCGACTTAACGGATGTGCGCTCAACGAAAGTGAGTCACGCTACTGTTCGCGCACTGGAGCACATGAGGGGACCACCTTCGATCTCCCCGTCGCTGGCACACGCCGTTTTCAATACGCGCAGTGTTTCGCGCGTAATTGGATTTACGGGCAAACGCACGAAGACAATCCTTTTGTCTGCCGTCCGCGGCAGCTGCGGCGACCGCTGCCACGGCCGTGATCGCCGGCGTGCATCCCCCTGGCAATATTTTACCCTTCGGACTCGCGAGAGGTGCGCGAAGAACCTGTTCGCACGCGCGACGACCTTGCATACGGCGAATCATTACTGAATATCGGGTCGGGGATAAAAGAATCTTATAAAGGGGCGTGCGAGCATGCAGTGCGAGAGGAGGGGACGTACATATACGCGTGGCTTATCGTTAAGCGGACAGGTTTGCCCGCACATCCGCATATACAAACGCGCCACGCATATAAATTGTTACGGCCATCTCTCTCTCGGCCTCCTCTCCCGGCGGAGGGCGAGCAGGGAGAACCCGGGTGGGCCGTAGGAAAAATAAACTGCGCAGAGAGGAAGGAAGGGAGGAGGGAGAGACGCGATTTCATCGCATACCGGCTGTGCCGTAGACAGTCGCACGCACCCGCACGTTGCAATTAGACATTTTTGCGGTCTCGCAGACGCCGCTGGAGACGGAGAAAACGACCGCGGGCGAGGGAGCGGCGTCTCCGGGACCCGCGCGAACGCGGGGTTCAGGGTTACACACGGGTGGTTACGGCCGAATAACTCGAGCCCGTGTCCTTGCCACCGAGTGTGCCGGACTTGTGCCCACCGCTCGGGATATTTAGGAGGGTCGCGTGTGCACGACGCGGATTTAGTAATCGCGCAAACCGAGAAGACCGAGCCGAAATTTTTATTCTACATTGATCCTGCAAATTCCACTGAAGGATCAATGAAGAATCTCGAGATATAATGTTACGCTGGCTGTTGTTTTACCTTGAGGACACGAACGACCGCTTGCTGCCGCGTTCGAGAATTATTTAACATTTCATTATCTCAATATTCTCTACCTGCATTTCACTTTTATTCCTAATTTTATCGAGCAATTTATTAATTATATAATTTATTCAGCTGTACATTGAGGATATGGAATAAATAACTAACTATGAAGTACACGGCGAGGATATTGTAGTTTTTTCTTTTCATATAAATTTTTTTCAATTTGACTATCTTTCTAGTAGTGTAGAGGAATAGACTGTTAGTAAAATAAAAGTATCATTGCCTGGACATGTAACTAACTCTGGAGACACATTCTTACTGTTTTAGTCTTTGAATATGAATACTTAAATGTTCAACATAAAATATATGTACGTATATTAAATATATAATATATATTCTCTATATGTTGAGAAAATATCCATATTTAAAGACCAAAATAACAAAAATTTATTGATACTTTTTCAAATTTATCAAAAGCATATTTCAATTCTTAAAATATAAATAACACATACGAAATAAAAGGATGATCGATTATTACAGAATATCGATAAACACGATGTTGGTCAGAAAATTCTATAATAATTTTTACTATAATATTTTTTCTATGTAGAATAAGGCATGTGAGTGGATAAAAAACAATTTCTACTCTCATAATCATTTCTATTTTTTAGTGTTGAATCTCCATGAAATTAAAACTTTTAAAAAAAGCTGATAAAAAAGAAGCTGTAAAGACAAAAATAACTATATGTCCAATAATGCTGTGTGTTTACCAATAAAATTTAAATGTACATTTCGTATAATAACAAAGTTAAACACAAACAGAAGGAAAGCGTTAGCAGATATAAATATCGCACAAACGGGCAAAGAAAAACATTATTAGACATGAAAATCAGTATTTGCAAAATTTATATTAGATTTTAAGACCGGAATTCAGAGTTGTATATCATTCAAAATTTTTACTTAAGATAATAATTATAGATTTATATGCATGGGCCTTTTTATTCGGCCGTTTATATTAATATATGAAATAATAGGAAGTACAGGTAGACAGGTTATCAAATAATCGAAGATTAATGAAGCTATAATTATTTGTCAAATGATGGCAGACTATGAATGCGGGTCTGAATTTCGACTCGGGTATCTATTTATTCTCGGCAATTTCGTCGGGACGTTCGTTCGAATCGGAAACATCACATTTATAATAATTTAACACACCTGAAAATATACGATGTACTAGCTGCCCACGTCCCAGCATTCTACGTTCTCCCCGATTTGGCTTACCGATTCAACATCTTGGCTCCTGGCTGCTTCAACACAAAGGACACTCACTGGCACACACTCTGCACTACACTCGCGTAGATACGATTCTCAATCGGAAATGTGCATGTTAAATGCCGCGACACTGACGAAAGCGCGACTAAATGTTTCAAGAGTCAACGAAATATTTTAATTAGCCGCGAGGAATGACAACTGTATACGCGTACCGCGATATGCGCCTCGCTCGCCCGCTCGACACGTAATGTAACACACAAAGGTAACAGTCGTCTCGAAGGTCCGGGATGTTTTGATAGCGCTGATTGTTTTGATTTCTCGCCTACTCATCGACGGGCGACAGCGACAGACAGAGTGGTGGGGGAAACTCTGCTCTTTTTGCTCACTGTTGCGTTAATATTCGCGCGTCGCGTAGTCGATTGTTATGTTTTCTTTCAAGTTTATACAGCGCGTATTCTATCAGCGTGTTAGTTACGCGATTTCCGTCGGGTACGCGATTGAAATGTTTCGTCGACTCTGAAAATATCTCATGGACATCGCATTAATTAACAAGCCTTTCTCGAATCGTATCTATGCGAATGTCAGTGCCATGGAGTATTCCGAACTGTCACGACGAAGCAGCTGGCAGGACCAGGAAGCTGAATTGAAAAGTCAAGATGCTAAGACGCGGGCAGTGATTATCATTATGTATTCTCAGGCATGCCAAATCATTTATTATGGAGATTTTCGATTTGAACGAACGTTTGATAAACACACTGAGAATAAAGAGATACCCAAATCGAAATTTAGGCTGGCATATTTACAGCTTATCATTTTTTATTGGACAAATAATTATAGCTTCGTGAATCTCTAATTATTCGTCAATATATATGTACCGGTCAATATATATGTACCTACTTTATACGACAAGAAACATTAATTTGAACAATTAAATAAAAGTTCATGAATACGAATTTTTTCATTTCTTTTTCGAATAGAAATTTACACCTCTATTAACACACAGCATTATTAAATGTACAACTATTATCTTTATTCCAACTGCTCCTTTCTTTTCAGCTCTTTTGGTTCCCATCAAAATTTTCAACGCAAACAAAGAATAAAAACAATATTATGAATAAAGTTTTATTTATCCGTTAATCCTATCATTTTCACGATCTACTCAATATATACTTATTTCATATGCTATATCTGTAGTTGAAGAAGCTACATAATCAACTACTTATTAAAATTAACAATAAAGATCAAATACAGGTAAAATACTGAAATATTCGAATATCAGATAATTCTAAAATAAATATTTTTTTCACCTCAAAATATAAAAAAAATATATTTTTTTTTATAGCATTAAGACAAGTCTGTATTGTATCTCAAGATCTTTCATTTTCCTCCATTAATTCTTTGAATTCGATTTTTTTTGTGAAATTTGCAGAATTAATGTAGAACTAACATTTTAACTCAATTCATAATTCAAAAATTAATTACCCTACTATTCAGTAAAGTTCGTCATACTTCTGAAAAATGCAGACCTTATACTGCATATCACACTGAAAAAAAAATTACTTGGAAGTTTATACCTGTAGAATATAAAATTTACTCACAGAAATAAACTTTATTTCACATAAACAAGCTTTATTTCACAAACATAAACATTATAACCCACAAATAAATTTTCGAGTATTTTTGTGGGATATCAAGTTTATTTCTGGGAAATAAAGTTCGTTTCCGTGAGACACAAAATTTATTTGTCCAAATAAATCCCATATCTCAAAAATAAATGTTCAAGTATTTTTTTCTCAGTGTGCATGCACAGTTGAGATGATTGTCCCAATCTGCATACTGATTTCAGTTGTATAAAAACGCCGACGATTCGTATCGTTATGTGTATTTCTGTTATCCTTCTTTTCATTTTTTTCCGTCAAACTTCCCGTATCGTACGATGGAACACGATGAAACTTATAATTAGTACGCCGTTCCCTTTTTCGCAGTCTGTTCTCGGCATCAGCGAGATAGAATCGCGTTTCAAAGAGCACCGCCGCGGCTGCATTTAACAGAGCAGAAAGACACCGCGGTCACAGAACGGGCGCAAGAAGAAGGCGAGAAGGAAGGATAAAGATTTCTACGCACAAGTGTGTGTAGGGTGGTATAAAACACTTTGCGCACCGCCCGTTTACCTTGCAACGGCGATGAATAACGGCCGGCTCCTCGTAAAATCCACCGCGAGAGACTCGCGGTGTTCCATAAGGGAGCAACATGCGAACGAAAAACAACTCGCGAAATTTCGTACGCGGATCTTCTCTTTCTTTCTCTCTCTCTCTCTCTCTCTCTCTCTCTCTCTCTCTCTCTCTCTCTCTCTCTCT